TTTTTATAATTATTAGAAAATCAATATCGTCGAAAATTGTGCACGTGAATAATCAAACTGGAAACAGCACGCATGTTACGTTAAGCATATGCAAACCGCGTACGCCTGCAGCATCTTTTAAAGATACTATAAAGAGCCCGTGCAGCCCTTATAATAGTTATGCCATGTGTTTCGCACTTTAACGAGCATCGGAACGGCCGGTCTTCTATTAGGTGAGATGTTGGAGGCGCTTTTCTTCGTCGGTGGAGCGCAGAAATTCATGCAGGATGATCCTGAAGGTGCAATTAGTCGAAGCTGCTCTTCTATTGGCCTTGAAGCGAGACCTGTTAATCCACCTGTACGATCCTTAAAGGCCCCTTCAGATCGAGATTATTCACGTTGAGGGGGATGAAAGGCTCGAATCTGGGATCAACTTCGCAAATCCGAAACTCAAACATTCATAGGAGATATGATAGAAAATTCAAGAGTCTGCTTTCTTTTAATCTCAGTAAATTTTGCGTAGAAAAAAGTTGACAATAAAATAAAATAATAAATATCATTTTTTATCCAATATACAGATTAAACAATTTTGTAAAAAATGTTTACATGCATAATTTTCGATGATTCTTTAATAATCATATAAAAAGAATTATGATTTGATTTTTAATATCTTCCAGGTTTCTATAATTTTAGCAACCTCTAAACACGTGACATTTTTTTAAAAAATTCTAAAAATAACATTTTTAAAGTTCTATCCGAAAAGTATCGAAAAGATATAACGTGTATGGATTGCTCTCAACTATATACATAGTTTACCCTACTTCAGCTCTGGCAGAGTACTTTAAATAAAAGCGGTGATGCGTATATACGTGCGTAGAAAATGGCAAGAAGATGTGGCACAGTTGCACGCAGTTTCTTTTCAGTTCGAAGGATTGATTTTACGAATACAAGAGACAGTCTTGCGAAGAGAAGGACTTCGTTATCGATCGGATGAAACCACCTACTTTCTCTTGTGTTTCGCTCGACACACAATCCCGCTATATGACACGCGATCGGGAAGCTATCGCATCAGTATCTTTCTCAGGATTTAAGCATATTATATTGCACGTCATAGATCCGTGCTGTATCAGGTGCTGCGCATCCTTTCGTGAAAAAAAAATTGTTGTCATTGCGATATCTACGATCATAATAAGACGTTATGGAGATATAACTTTTCTCACGATACGTTCCAGATGCATTCTATATTTTAACGTTACATTATACAGTTTAATCTTTTTTGCAACATGTGTATATAAGTATTGTATGGAAAGTAATGGAAAGTTTGACGCTGCATCAATTTCGCCACGACCCTTCATGTTAATTTGTCATATGAATTATTGAGTAAATTTAGCAGAAGATAAATTTTATATAGTGCGCAATATCTGCAACGTTAAGTGCTTCATATTTTTCTTTTACAGAGTATCTCGGCTAGAACGTCGAGAAAGACGGGAAAATGGATAAGAGTAGCGAGTGGGGTGACAGAAGAAAGGGTTTTGAAATATGTGGAGCGTAAAGAGGCCGATAAATTTCAGCGTCTATTCGCATTGGATCGTGATATCGTGATTGATAACGATTGTGCCATCGGTACTAAATTATATTATCGGATATCGCTAATACGATGCGATACAAAATTATCTCTATCAAAGAAAAGAAGAAAATAATAAATTATAAATACATTTAATTCCTTTGATTTTAATAATCCAATAATTTCATCTGCAATAACAAAATTATATAGTGCATTAATTATTATTAATTATTACATATTATTTGAGGCAAAAATCTTTCGTTCGCGATGTTAATTAAGTTTGTAATAAATAAAGATCTCGTGCCAGGAAGAAAGAGACCATGGTTACCTTGCTACGCAAGTTTAATTAAAATCAGTGCAATAATTAGGCATAATGAAAGTAAATTGTTAAATTATTTCGTACAATTCTCTCATTGTCGGCAACTAAGAGAAAAGATCCTCGTTAAAATTCCCGTGCGTGGACGTTGTTGATTACGCTTCCCCATGCGATAACCATGTATTCGAACCCTCGCTAATGCAATTCCACGAGCCGTGATCGAATTAGTTTCTGAACGAGGCGAGCCAAGGTTAATAATGGCCAAGTACGGGATGTAACGTGACATCGATTAAATCGTGCGACCTAATTTGTGCTAAAAATATCTGCTCGATGAATAATCTTCGAATACGTTTTAAAATGAGCACATATGTGTAACAGCTCAACGGAAAAAAATCTTTATATGTATTTATATTTATCTTTATCATTGTCAATATAACATATACAACACTCTCTTATCTAAACTATTAAACTAATAACAATACTATAATATTGAAAATCATAATTTTCTGTCTGAAAAAATTATTTAATGAATTAAGAGCGTTAGTTTCAGTAAGTCATAAAAAGATTGTCCAATAATATATATAAAAAATACTCTATTTAAAAATAAGTACATATTTAAGAATTAAGAAAAAAAAAACATTTAAAAAATTTCACCGTTTTTGTAAATTTTCCTTTAATCGATATTTTTTAATAAGAAACTCAGAATAGTTCTTTATCTGCTTTTATGAATACTACAAAAGATCCGTTAGTTTCTAAATAGCAGCGATTGTATGTGTATAGATTGTACGGCAGGTATCTGCGAAAGGAGAAGAGAAAAAAAGGGCGAGATCCTTCGAGCGCGAGTATGCGTAATCATATGAATACGCGAAGCGCATAGCATTCCAATACACGTTTACGCGAGACATAATACCACCAGATTTTTGTGTATTATACCATGTTTGTGTAGATTTAGAATAAAAGACGCGCAAACGACAATAAGTATAGGAAGCTCAACAATTTTTACGTTTCCTAAAATGCGCTAATTAAGGGACTCTCTTTCATTGCGTTTTCATCGTACGCACAAAAACGCGAGATGAAATAAATATATTATTTTTGTCTCTATTGACTTTTGATATTTCTGAAATAATTTGAACGTTATGTCAACCCCGATATCTGCGTGTTGCACATTATTTATATAAATCTTTTCGGCTTTATCGAAGAGTAACTGGTCATGTGTGATTTTTTTTCGTGAGTCATGAATTTTTCTCTCTTCTTTTTCGAATTATTAAACTTTATATGTGTATATGTGATGTTTTCATTAATGCCTGATATACATATAAGCATTCCGGTAGCGTTAAATCTCAAATCGAAATTTGTCGACATTATTCCTTTAAAATAAAATCTAGAATTATCGAACGTGATACGAAAACAAATCCGCGCATGTATAGCACGATAGCGACGCACACAAATCCACAGGATGTCGCCCGCAGCGAAGCGTGTCCGTGACTGACTCGCACTGATAGATGCGTGCAGAGGAACTCCATGTTTAGCGTTTCTTAAGGTCAGCCAATTTAATGTTCGTACACGCCACACTTCGAGCATTTCCATCTACATGGAGAATTAATGCGAGTAAAGGTGCACGATCGTGAAAAATTAAAACTTAATGTAATTATGCGAGTAAGGTAATGATAATGTTATAGTTTTGACGTTTTTATGGAGTATGAATTGTTAAAATATCGATCAAATTTAATGAGTTCTCCATATGATTCATTCCCCATTAATTATTCAAGGAATTGCCTGATGGGAGAGAAGACGACGCAAGCGCTACGTGACCTTGTAGAAGTATTTCTTCAGTACTGTACTTAACACATACCAGACACTCTTAAGCTACCACGCACGCTAATGAGCTGCACGCAGCGTACATTTATTATATTGTTTGCGTTCTATAGATGATCTTTTTACGCCCCTGATTTTCCATCGAACATCATATATGGTTCGAAATTTGCACTGTGCTTTAAAGTTAGGATAGTCTTGAGAACAGCAATAAGAATACACTAATTGAATATCTTAAATAGACGTAGATTAACTCCAGACTAATTATCAATCAACAACTTTAAAGTTCAGATTCAAGATCTGAAACTTGAAATTTCGGGGCGTTCAAATAAACGCAGTCGACCAAGATCAAGATTATAATTCCGAACGGATGAGAAATCCGAACTTCGTTATTTCCGTTTGGATCGGAGCTCCGGATGTCGAATCGGAATTAGAATAGAAAGCTGACGCATGTCGACGAACGTTCCATCGATTTTCGAGCTTTTATAAACTGACTCGGAAGTTTCAACCACGTGAGCTTTACTGAAATAAGCTCCCTTTAAAAAA